GGGTAAATCGATCGATGGCACGTGGGTGGGCGTCTTCTGCACCATTTTCCCTTCTTTCGAAGACACCGTATTTTTTCGCTTTTCCGGGTAGTCTGGGGGCCAGGGGGATTATTTTTGAAGTTTCGTTCCGGGTAAGAGGGCACCAAGTTTTGTCGATTTGAGTGTCAAGTATCTTCAAAATGCTGCAAGATGGTATGCCATTCAATCAAAATTTCCATCGGGAAGGTCATACAATGAAGGTGGAAAGAATTGATGATGGTTGCCATGGCAACACATCAGTTAATTCAAATATACAGGAGAACTATGCGATATTTTGACAAAATTCCTCCTGAATATAAACATATCCAATACGTATGACTGGTTGGCCAAGTTTGACTGAACACAAATAAACTTCAGGGCCTCAAAGGTGAATTATAAAATCGGATCTACTGCAACTATACATTACTGTACATACGTAATTAAATATGCATGCATACACCGACAACTGTACAAATATATTGGTGACCAGTGTACATGTGACATCTATAAAGCCTTTTAGAAAAGAGGTAGAAATGAATAGAGTAGTCTGTGACCAATGGTGATCTAATGGATATACATGTACATGTACATGTACATGCCTGAGATGGCATGAAACTTGGTTGTGACTGATCAAGCCATCTGTTGTTCTGACTAGTGTGCACATGTACATGTATGTATGCATGGCGAAGAGGAAAATGTAGAGGGAAATAGAGCACGCCAAAGCAGTTCTCTAAGTACCTATCAGTTGGTAGCAACAAAGAAGAGCTTGTGGCATTCTTTGGTGGTGAAGTGGCAGCTCCCGGACAACCTGACAAGGTGCCCCCAGGCAAGGAACTGGTTGTCACTGCGGGCCAAGAGTCACAATTGTCAAGTCGGCTGGTGCAAGCATGGCGTTTACTGCTGTGGAGGAGTTGCTGTTAACCCAGGAACTCTCTTCCACTGCCTCACATCAAGAGCTGACATTGATTGTGGCTCCGAGCTCCTCCAGCAGGGCATTGATGCGTTTTCCCGTTGGGGACATAAGTGGAGGATAGAATTTGAGCCCTCCAAGACGCAGGCTATGTCTATAGGCCACCATCGCCAGCCCTGGGAGCTCCCTCGAGCAACATTTGACGGCACACCGGTCAGTGAAGAGAGTCGGCTGAAACTCCTGGGAGTCACCTTTGACGACACCCTGAGCTACTCCTTCCACCTCCGCTCCCTTGCTTCCCGTGCTAACCAGCGGATTGGCTTCCTGAAGCGAGCGTCTCCCATTCTGGTCGCCGAGAGCCGCCAACGCGTCTACAACGGCTTTGTGCGACCCACACTCAAGTATTGCCCCTTAGTGTGGATGGGCTCACCCTCGTCCCATCTTAAGAAGCTGGACCAGATCCAGCGAAGGGCCCTCTACATCATCGGAGCAGGTACTTGGCTCCCTAGCCTGGCACTCCGTCGCCTGGTAGCTGCACTTGCCTATACCTACAAGTTCTGCTATCTAGATGCATCCAGCCCTCTGAAGCAGATGCTGCCCAAACCAGCCACTGACCGTGCCCCCGAGACAAGACCTACCCGTCAGTCTCTCCAGCTGCATGATTCCCATCCATACCAGATGACAACTGGCCTGCCTGCCAACACCCGGAATAGCTGTCTCCAAGGATTCCCTGCTTGCACCGTTGCAACATGGAATGCCCTGCCACCAGACCTGTTCCACCACCCACCCGCCCAGCCCCACATGCAAAGCTTTAAGAAAAAGGCGTACCGTCACCTTCTTGCTCAGGACTGGCTCTCTGCTACTGATGCACTTTGAATCGGTTCACCAACGCTTTCCCTGTTTTTATTAGTGTTCAGCTGCTTACCTTATAACCCTGCTGCCATCATCACCAATATTCTGATTCCCATGCACATGTCCCAGAACCTGCTATTCTTCGCAGTCCCCATCACCAAGAGCACTGTGCTCTTCTATCTCCCAGCTCTCTCTCTCTCTCTCTCTCTCTCTCTCTCTCTCTCTCCCTCTCCCTCTCCCTCTCCCTCTCCCTCTCCCTCTCCCTCTCCCTCTCCCTCTCCCTCTCCCTCTCCCTCTCCCTCTCCCTCTCCCTCTCCCTCTCTCTCTCTCTCTCTCTCTCTCTCTCTCTCTCTCTCTCTCTCTCTCTCTCTCTCCTTCTTCTCTTCTTCTCCCCCCCCCATCTCCCGATAATTATTAGCCCCCGTTTTCTTTCGACGCGTTTGCTGTGCAGTGAAGCCGAGACCCTAGGTCGGTGGAGCACATCAGACCCCGTCACCACGTCCACGATTCATGCCTGCGATGCTGCACCGCTGCTTTGCATGTCATGATTGGAAGCTGTGGCCTTAGTAAAAAAAAAAGGGGGGGGGGCACCAACCTGCACCAACCTCCACCAGCAACGTACACGGGATAACATGGCTAACAGAACAAGCAATGATGGCAACATCGGTATATCGTGTTCTTATCAGAACGGTCTCATACCCACTGACAGCTGCATGCCTTGCATGAAGGAGCAGTCTGGTGTCAGCCTCTTCCTGGGTTAACAGCAACTCCTCCACAGCAGTAGACGCCATGCTTGCACCAGCCGACTTGACAATAATTATTATGCACTCTTGGCCCGCAGTGACAACCAGTTCCTTGCCTGGGGGCACCTTGTTCAGGTTATCCGGGAGCTGCCACTTCACCACCAAAGAATGCCACAAGATCCTCTTTGTTGCTACCAACTGATAGGTACTTAGAGAGAACTGCTTTGGCGTGCTCTGTTTCCCTCTACATTTTCCTCTTCGCCATACATACATGTACATGTATATCCATTAGATCACCATTGGTCACAGATTGCTCTATTCATTTCTACCTCTTTTCTAAAAGGCTTTATAGATGTCACATGTACACTGGTCACCAATATATTTGTACAGTTGTCGGTGTATGCATGCATATTTAATTACGTATGTACAGTAATGTATAGTTGCAGTAGATCCGATTTTATAATTCACCTTTGAGGCCCTGAAGTTTATTTGTTTTCAGTCAAACTTGGCCAACCAGTCATACGTATTGGATATGTTTATATCCAACAGGAATGTTGTCAAAATATTGCATAGTTCTCCTGTAAATTTGAATTAACTGATTTGTTGCCATGGCAACCATCATCAATTCTTTCCACCTTCATTGTATGACCTTCCCGATGGAAATTTTGATTGAATGGCATACCATTTTGCAGCATTTTGAAGATACTTGACACTCAAATCGCAAAAACTTGGTGCCCTCTCACTCGGAACGAAATCTATTAGACGTGACTTTTTCCTAACTTGGCCCCCGGACTAGGGATAATTCGATTGAAATCCGTACTGCGGACAAAACACCGTTTTTCCGTAAAAATACGGACAAATACGGGCAGTTGGTAACACTGGTATATACAGCCAGTGCAGTGATGGCAGTGTACTGCACTGCAAAAAGCACCTGCACTGCGCGTAGTTGTTCTTTATTATGTTTTGTCGAGAAAGAATCCCTTTGATCCCTTTCGCACTCGCGCGGGCGCAGCACGGAAACTGGTCTATTGAATTCATTTCTTGGTCGATTTTGACAACCAACACGTCGTTGTTTTTTCTTTTTTTCACTGGCTATCCTTTCTCCGCTTCCGAATTGCGATGCCGTCCACCGGGAAAGCCTTGAAGTGAAACGAGTGGAGGCCGGGTTCGGAGGTAATTTTCGGCCAAACAGCCATCAAATCAAAAAATTCGAAGCGGACGATCTGTCGGTATCTATCCAATGAAGACGTGGGTCGATAAAAAATCTTTGGAAACTACACGGCATGAACCAAGGAATTACGGTAAGTTTGAGAATTTTGGTACATTAGCTGTACGCTGATTGGTCAATCAGCGCGATTGTTGACAAACGGGCCAGTGACGCTTTGTACAGCGTTGGTGAGGGCTGAATTTTGTCATGCGCTTTGCTTTGCTGCGTAATCACAAATGGCGCCCAGCCCGTTTTGCTGAAAAGAAAAACAAATTTTGCTTGCCCTGTTGTGTTCCTCCAGACCACAGACCGTGCTTCCGCAGTGTTTCTTTTGAGCGTTCCTTTTTCCTTTCATAGCTTTGCTGCCAGCCCGAGTGTCACCTCGTTACTGGCCACCTGCACCAGCTGTGCCCTAGGCTGTGCATGAACGTATCTTGCGAGGTGAGTTCATAGATTTTTCAAGTTTGTTGCCTGAAATTCTTGCACCCCCCCCCCTCCCCGTCCACACTTCCGGCCGAACATTCCGGCTGGTGCCCAGCCCGAATAACGATAACCAGCTAAACATTGTTGAGTCAGATGATGCGAAGCAGGTGCGTTGCAAGGTTCACAATATAGCTACCTGGCACGAGGCATGGACTACTTACATATCTGTTGTCACGGCGCTGCCCCACACCGTACTGCTAAACTGATCGTGTACCAGCAGTTGATCCTGACCGCTAACCGCCAGTTTTTTCCAAGCGCGTGGCTGGATTACGACCGCCAGCTGCGGATGTTCGCGGCCCAGCAACCAGGTATGAAGAGGTTGGACACCATCGATGTGAACCTGTGGCAGATAGCCTTCACAGGGCGTGCGCGCCCAACATGCGCTCAATGTAAGACGGTTCATCCAGGGCCGGGTTTGTGTCCTCTTCGTCCCAAAGCCCAATTCCCCAAGCAAGCAGCATTAACCTCCAGTGGTCGCACCCACAGCAGCACGGGCCAGGAAATCTGCCGCAACTTCAATGGAGGTCGCTGTTCTTCGTCGTCGTGCCGATTCTCCCATACTTGCAGCCAGTGTGGCAAGCAGCACCCACACACCAAGTGCAACCAGCAGCAGCGCGGAGCCAATCGGCCACTCCTAGTAGAATGGCTACTGAATTGCTTGACTCTATACATAGCTTCTTTTCCATACACTCGGCATACACCCCACTGCTAGCTGACCACTTTGCCCGCCTGTTGCGTAACCACCCAGATCAATCATTTGCTTCGTATGTTCTCCATGGCCTGCGCCATGGCTTTGCTCTTGGTTTTTGCCGGCCAATATGACATTTCTGTTTTCTCTGATTATCTGCCCTTGGCTTTCCCTCACTCTGCATTTATTTCCGAGCAATTAGCTGCTTCCTGCGCACGCGGCGAGACCGCAGGCCCCTTTGCGTTGCCTCCATTTCAGTTCATGCGCTGCTCTGGCATTGGTGCCGTCCCCAAAAAGAACGGTAACCTGCGAATGATCCACCATCTGTGTATTCTGGCAGACGCCAGTGTGAACGACAGCATTCCCGCCGAGCCGTTCTCTCTGCACTACGTGAGCATTGACTACGCGATCAACATCATCATGTCATGCCCACAGCCTGTGTATTTGTCCAAGCTTGATGTTCGCAGTGCATTCCGGCAACACGAGTTTGCTATGGATCACCTGCTTCATTACCTCGATGACTTTCTCAATATCTCCACTGGTTTGGTTGCAGCCAACCAGCAACTGGCCATCCTCCTCCGGGCATTCACGCATTTCAGCATTCCTCTGGCTCCATCCAAGCTCGAAGGGCCATCACCATCATTGACTTTCCTTGGTATTGTGCTAGACTGCGAGCGCCGCAAAGCTCGGCTACCAGAGGACAAGCTGTCCGAGATCCGTGCGCTACTCGTGGCTACTATTAGCGAGCGCAGCATCGGCCAGCGTCAGGTCGAGTCCCTTCTGGGGAAGCTCGATTTTGCTGCCCGAGTAATCGTTCCGGGACGCACATTTATGCGTCGACTATGGTCAGTGTGTAGCCGATACCGGGAGCCCCATTACCGTATCAAGCTAAGCAACGAGTGCATCGACGCTCTGACTTGGTGGCTGCGCCTACTGCAGGACTGGAACGGGAAGTTCTTCTTCCTCCATCCGCAGTGGACGCGCCATCTCCTGACGTGCAGCTATTTGCCGATGTGAGCAGCTCGATTGTCTGGGGGGCCTACAACCACGGTCGATGGATTCGCGGCACCTGGTCCGAGAAAGATGCGTTGACCGCAGCATAAAGTGGAAAGAGTTGTATACCATCTTGGTAGCGTTCAGCACCTGGGGCTGCGAGTGGTCTAAGCTCTGCATCCTCTTGCGCGGTGACAATTCGGCTGTTGTCGATTGCATTCGATCTGGCTGCTGCAAATCTCCCCCTTTCATGTCTTTGCTGCGTGAACTATTCTTTGTGAGTGCACGGTGCCATTTTGCTGTGTCTGCCGTCCACATTGCTGGCCATCACAATGTTATTGCTGATTGTCTGTCTCGCTCCTTCAAGCAGGCATTCAGACGCCACGCCAAGACGGCTCCGGACATTGCCTGCCTGCCTCAGCAATGCTAGCCACTGTCTGCCAATATGCTGCTTGTGCTGTGTCAAGGAACACCCACCGCACTTACACCATTGGTGAAGAACGCTATTATGATTTCTGCCGTATGCAACACTGGTCACCATATCCTGCTACCGACGTTATGCTGTGCTGTTTCGTGTCATTCCTTACACGAACTGTAAGACCCGGAGCTGTATCTGCGTATGTGAGCGCGGTTCGTAATGCCCGTCTTGAGAACGGGTTTACTGACCCTTTAGTAGATGCGTGGCTTCTGAAAAGGGTGATAAAGGGCATCCAGCGATGCCATGGCACGGCTGTACTAACCCCTCGCCTTCCTATCACTACCACAGCACCACAGCACAGCGGCAAAGCATAGTCAGGGGCCACTAATCTAGTGCCAGCTAAAGGCACTTGATGGCAAAGCAAATTGTCCAGACTCTCTTTGATGTAGGAGTAAAACTGCTTCACTGTGCCAGCCACCATGCCGTTTCAACAGTCGCTGTGGAACCTTGGCTGCGGCCGCTGCCGTCGTACCCCCTGATCGGAGGCTGTGCATGCTGAACATCTCTGCCTGTAGGCCTACTCCTGCCACTACCTCCAGGAACAGCTCTCTTGCTCTGGAGTACTGGAGTGACCCTTTCTTCGTCTTCCAGCCAGACTTCGCCTTCACCAATTTGCTCCGCAAATGATCGTCAGCTTGAAGGTTCCTTTCTTCGATCAGCCTCTGCGTCAGAGCTACCACTCACAGCTCATCAGGTTGCGTGCTTATGAGGACCAAGCTGCCTTCTCTGAGCTGGTCATTCTTGCGCTTATCCAAACGAACCTCCATGTAGTCTCAACGGAATGCAATGTCCCGCACCCGGATTCTCGCCAAATCGTCCCACCTCATGAAGCCAGCAAATCCAATGACAAACATCACCGCTCTCCGCAGCTTCAGACAATCGTCGCTCCCGGCAAGTTGACCCACGATCGTAGCCACCTGCTTCTTGTTGAGGGGCTCTTTCCGCCTGGGGTACAAGCTAACCTCCTCTTTGCCGCTAATGCAATCTGCTCCACCATATCATTGACAGGAGGCTGTACGCATGCCTTCTGATGAGCCCATTTGATTGCGGACAGAGCTGCAGAAATTGGGCTTGCGAAAGCGCTTGTCTCTACGAGCTGGATCAGATACAAACTGACTGCCACCGGTGTAGCGGGTATCGCCACGAACCTATGCTCCATAGCCCAGCTTTTCCAACGCGAAAATGCAGGCGTGTAGGTCTTCACCGTGTCTCCATCACCAAGTCCTTGGCTCGTTCCGACAAACCCACTAGGCCCTTGCCTTCAGCTACTTCCTGTAGCTCCTTCCAGCACCCCTGGTCCCAGATCTCTAAAACATTTTGGCAAGCACACGGAAAGAACCACAATACAAGCCTTGTTATTCAGACCGCACAAGCTTGTGCTCCAGCTACAAGGCTACTCCTTTGCCATGTTTCATAATAATGCCCAACATGCACCACCCATACACAACCACATAAATAGCCAAAAAATACAGCTAACAATAATAATAAGCAAGAAAAAACCCCAGACTTCCCTGTGTTGGTATGTTGACAGCTCCATGACGCAGGATCCACCAGCACATTCCCCGGACCATCCAGCCTGCCGCAGGTTATGCACCCTGTGCGTCTTACAGAACCATCCTCTAGATTCTGCAGCCAATCAACAACCAACACATAGCAGAACACAGAACCATCTGCACCTGGACATCCTGCCTCACAGCGCCAACACTCCATGATCCCACTAGACCTGATTGCCATGACTTCACACCTGGGTACATACAAAAACACAGCGAACAAAAATACAAGGCAAGTACCAAACCAGACTTCCCTCTGTTGGTATGTTGACAGCTCCCTGGCGCTGGATCTACCAGCACCGTCCCCAGGACCGTTCAGCCTGCCTCAGGCTATGCGCCACGTGCGTCTTACAGAACTAGCAACAACACACAGCAAAACACAGAACCATCTGCAGACACCTTGTCTTTAAGTTCAATATCATTCCCGACTCCCTGTCTCCCAGCACCGACATCCCATGATACTACAGAACCTGATTGCCATGACTTCACACCTTGGCACCTTCTCATCAAACCAATTCCATTGGCAAGAGCCCTGTCAAACAGACCTGATATTCTAGACAGGAAAATTAAACTCCTCACCAACGTGGAGCTTTCAGTATACCTTTAGACAAGTGTGGCCACCACCATGCAGATGTCCATTTTGGGACAACCAATGTCCCATGACTGACAATCACTGAAATTCTGCTAACAACGTCCTCAATAAGGTAAATGGGGGGGGGGCATAACCATAAGTTCTCCCCCTCCCAGCACATCGTAAAAGCTTCCACGGCCAAACATCCTGGATTCCACCAACGTGAGCAGAAAGGAGGCAACTGTGCCGACTCTGCACTGGCAAAGCAGTCAACAGTATGCTGGCCCCACAAACCATCTACCTCATTGAATACCTCAGACAACAATTTCCAGTCATCTGTATCCACTACCTTGGCCAAAAAATCTGCCAGCACGTTCTCCTCCCTTGGAACCCATTCTGGTACAAGTCGAATGCAATTTTGCCTGCAAAACCTGAAAATCCGACATGCAATCTCCTGCAGTTCTGGAACTTTGCTGCCCACCTGCAGAATGCGAGCTGCCGCCTGGTTATCCGTCCGGTGCCTGCATTCCTTGCCTGCCAATTCTTGGACCACCGATTGCAACACCAACGCGGTAGTCCTCAATTCCCTCCAGGTAGAGCTCTTCTGAGCCTCTAACACCTCTTCTGGCCAATTCCCCCTTGCAATCGTTTCCCCGCAGGACACCGCGAAACCTCCCCAGGCTACATCGCTAGCATCTGACCACGTGTCTACAGCTGCTGTTATCTTGGGATCACCCACAACCAATCTTCCATGAAACTTATCGAAACAATACCACCAGAAGCTCACTTCTGCATAAGCCTAAACGGACCACTCCTGTCTATGAAACCAGCTTTTCCTTCTGAGAATTATGTCATACAATGCCCTTGTTCTCAACCTTGCAACTGGCCCAATGGTGAAAGACATTACAATGATGAAACCAAGGAACTGATCAACACTTGTTCATAATCTCGAATGGACAGCAGCTGACCAGACAGTCATTCACAGCAACAGTACTGTCTCTTGTTGCCACGGGCGGTGTACCATCCCAGTCGCACTACTCCGGGCATTCATTCCGCATCGCCGCAGCCACCACCGCTGCTATGGCCGGTGTCCCCGACTCCCTCATCCGAGCGGCAGGTCGAAGGAAGAGTGATGTGTCTACGCTACATCCGGACTACAACAAGCGCTAAGCGCCAGCTATTGTCCAGGCTTGCTGCCGTGTCACGGATGCCATGATGCCTGACTCGCGTGAGTAATGAGTTGATGAACTGTATTCGCACAATACTTGCCTGTGCCGACATTAATTGACCCTTGCTGTGTGTCAATAGTGCTTAGCTAACGGGTGCTGGTTTCATGGGTCCACTCTCCCAACTGGTGTTATCTAGCTTTTTGCTGCGGCTCTGCCTTGAGCTATAATACATCCATTTAGCATTGCAGCTCTGCGTTGAGCTAACAGCAGCTCTCCTTTGAGCTAACAGCAGCTCTACTTTGAGCTAACAGCAGCTCTACTTTGAGCTAACAGCAGCTCTACTTTGAGCTAACAGCAGCTCTACTTTGAGTTAACAGCAGCTCTACTCTGAGCTAGCAACAGCTCTACTTTGAGCTTCAAACCAAAAGATGCCTCTTTGTTGACTTGTTTGTGTGAGGGATGGGGGCTAACCGGGTACTAGCTGTGCTACTACTCGTTAGCAACGATCCGAACTAGCGCACACACTGCGCTGCATTGCTTCGTACTGCCTTCAAGACTGACGTCATGCGCTTTGATTTGCTGAGTAATCACAAAATTGGCACCCAGCCCGTTTTGCTGAGAAGAAAAACAAATCTTGCTTGCCCTGTCATGTTCCTCCAGACAACAGACCGTGCTTCCGAAGTGTTCCTTTTCCCACCATCCCTCCCTATCCAACTTATTCACACAATCATTATAATTATCGTATCCACTGATCCGGTCCACTCTCACAACTGGTCACGGTTATCTAGCTATTTGCTGCGACTCTGCTTTGATCGATATTACATCCATTTAGCATTGCAGCTCTACGTTGAGGCAACAGCAGCTCTACTTTGAGCTTCAAACCAGTTGTTTCGAAACCAGCACCCCTCAATCCAAAGATGCCTCTTTGTTGACTTGTTTGTGCGAGGGAGTTGTTTTTTTGACGTTTGATAGTGGGTGTTGAACTAGTAGAAAATAGGGAATTGGAGAGTGGATATTCCGATACTTAGGCTTCCAAATCTGTTGCCCGAGCTGTATTGAGCAGGAGACTTCACGCACGGATTACTGCCGGGGTGACAGTGGACATTACAGTAAAACCAAGAGTATTATAACCCCCCAAGAGTGTGCAACTCTGATACGTTCGTACTACGTACAAACGAAGCATAGCGTGCGCGCAATCCGAACATCGTGCTGTATTTGCATACGCGCAGTGAGTTTCTGTCGCATTGAGTGCTTTT